CAAAACCATTGTTTAGGCTAATGCTGAAATGCCCCACAATTGAGTTTCTATAAAGTAGTGGGAGGGATTAAATTGTAGTTCAACCATCACTGAACACTCATGATTGGACAACAGGACTGTAGAATAACCAACCAACTCTAAGCAGGTTTCCTAATTGGTTAATACATAATCAATACATCATCACCCATCTTTTCAGAAAAAAATTTAGTCCCTAAGGACTAAAGTAGCTATTGAAAGAATTTAAGACTTCAGTCAACAGCTGAATCTAAAATGGCTAAAATTCATATATCTATGTTAACATGGTATTATAAATCTTAACAGAAAAAATTTTAATACTATTTTTAGTAAGGGAAGTACCTTTGTACAATTTATCTCCTGGTAAACAGGCTGTTTCTGTAACAGCCAAAATTAAGTCCTATAATAATTGTAACATCAGTGTAATAACCACTAATTCCAAAGTACTTTATGGTCTAGAAAGTACTTCCTCTCATATGAACTTCATAATGTACCCATCCCTATAGCAGATAGGACAGGTATTTAAAGTATTTTATTTTACACATGAAAAAAAATTGACACCCTCAAAGTTAAAAAGCTCTGCCCATAGTTACACTAGTGAGTAGGAAAGCTCCTGGAATCAGAGATTTGTGGCTCAAATTTCTGCTATTTGGCATTGTGTCACACAAATGGACACAAGTAATATTCCTAACATTTTCAAAGAGATACCTCTTGACACAGAGGCACACCGCTGGGAAATTCACTGTCCTGGTGGTGATTAAGTAAACCAGACAGCAGGCTCCAGAGTCGGACTGCCCTGCATCCAAACTTAGTTCCAGCACTTACTAGACCCCCGATGTTGCGCGGTTATTTACATCAGCCAACAGCAAGTGACATTACAAAGCACTGATAAAAACTTATTTTGCTCAGAAGGTTAATATCCTTCAAATTACAAGTCATTATGAAACTATTTAAATCATAAAAGATGAAACTTTCATTCTGGCCAATCAAGTCAGAGGTCTTCTGATGTCAGGTCTATCTGCCTGGGAAACTGAGCCATTTCCTCAAAGAGAATGGAAATGTCGTACCAGACATCGTCTGAAAAGAAATCGAGAACTACATCTAAGACAACCGCGCGCACGCGCGCACACACACACACACACACACACACCCCAAAAGTTATCATACTGGAAAACAAAGTATTCAAAGCTGACTAAAATAAAAGTCTCACAGAAATGTGTGAAGGTACTTAACTGTACCTTAAAAATACTTAAATGCCTGCATTTACTAAATATCACATAAATAAAGCTTGAAAGTTCCTTCATCTAAAATTATTTTTAGCGGCGCCTGGGTGGCTCAGTTGGTTGGGCGCCCGACTTCGGCTCAGGTCATGATCTCACGGTTCATGGGTTTGAGCCCCGTGTCGGGCTCTGTGTTGACTGCCAGCTCAGAGCCTGGAGCCTGTTTCAGATTCTGTGTCTCCCTCTCTCTCTGACTCTTGCCTGCTCACGCTGTCTCTCTCTTTCTCTCTCAGAAATAAATACAACATTAAAAAAAATTTTTTTAAATAATAAAATTATTTTGAATTTATTTTTTATAATAGTAAACACAGAGTTAACGCAGAACCAGGATTGTATTCATGAAGAGCACGCCCAAGAGCAAAACCCAGAACGCAGAAAATACAACTGTTTTTCATTACATTCAGTCTTAAAATTCTTCTATTAAAGGAATCATCCTTCAAACAAATGCACTTGAATTTTCCCAAAAGACAAACAGAATGAACATGGTACTAGGAGACAGAGTGGAATTTGAAAGGCAAAATGAAAAATTAATGACACACCTACAGAAACTAATTTATACCTCTACTCATGATACAACAAGGGCAGAGCGTATCATTTAAAATAAATCATATGGACAGTAGTTCTATCTTCCAATAATGTTAAAAACTATCAACTATACTGTTATCTGAAAGAATAATTACTCTAAAAATAAATAAATAAAACAAAAGGATTTAACACTGAAGAATATCAAACTAGATGATCAAACATTTTTAAAAGGTTTTTTCAAATCAGGGCATCACTTTTCTCCCTGTAATTTTATAAGCATCTCCTTTCCCTCCACTAATCCTGCACAATTCTATTCTCAGTTTTTAATTTCTATTCAGCTCTTCCTGGTCTTACCTTCCTGACCACTTTCCAAGGAACAATTCTTACGACAGCAAATAACCAAACAAGAGGCCTGTCTATCTTACTTAAAAAACCAAGGCCAGAAAGATCAAGAATGACCCCTGGATTTTTATCCTGCTGGCACCAAGCCAGTCACTAAAAACTACTACTTTCATTAAACTGGGGGGGGGGGGGGGGAAGGTCAAGCATTATTCATATTTAACATTTCCATTATCTGATTTATATTTTCTAAAAATACTTGCTTGCTAGTGTGATGGTTTTCTTAACAACTGTAACAAGACTTCCGTAATCACATTTTAAATATTGGTAATTTTAATTAACCCAGTTACAGCACTGCTAATCAACTACCTGTAAAGAAACCCTAAATAACAGACTACGATTTGATTACCTAAACACAATGAACTGTGCAATCTGAAAACAAACAGGGCCCATATGAAAGTTAAACAGAAATAAATTTGTCAATTTGAAGAGAAGATCCAATTACCAAGAACATCCCAATTTTTAGAGTCCTATCTAAACATTCAATTTATTCTCGATATTTTTGTATCCTTTCCCTCACACATTGCTTAGAAGATTCGCATTTTGCACATTCACTACCAACACTATTGTCTCAGGCAGCTAAATTGAAGTAGTTCTGCACTCAGTTCAACTGAGAGGTCAATGTGCCTCAGTTGCCTGGAGACTGATGGTTGCTACAGCAGCACCAGATAAGCCAGGCTAAATAAGCTTCAGCTTGAAGGCAGAAAGCATTTCCTGCTGGACAGAAGCACAGATGCAGTTGCCTCAGCACGCAGCATTTGAGTCTAACTAGATGATCATATTTATAAGAGACCCATCTTACTGAACATGGAAAGCGGATAAACAGTAAGGATTTTAATTGGACTGAATCCTGGATTACTTGCAACTATGATTTCTTTGTTCTTCAGTTGAGTCATATGTTAAGTGGAATTTTCCCTCTAGCTATAAATTTCTCTTCACCACCACTTCCCCCATCTACCTCCCTAATGCCAACCCCCAAAACCACAAACATAATGAATGAGAAGAAATGAGATTTTTGCTTAATTCAGCCTGGAATTAACCAGAGAGTAATTAAAACAGACTTTTATAAGGAAAGAAAAGGAAAACGCACACTGAAAATGTTCATGTGAGACTTTGTCCAAGGATAGAAAGCTATCAACAGCATATGGCTACACTTAATTAAAAGAGATGAAACTATTTACAAGAACCATTCTCTCATTTATCCTTTCACCCTCTCTAACCCCACACCCCTGTTATGCTGCCTACCTCACCGAGGCTAGTGAAATCAGCTACAAAAAACTCTCCTAAATTACTCAAACTCCCCTTATTCAGGTTGAGAGGTTCACCACATAGTTAACTCTCATTTTCAAACATGATACCACTAATCGCACCACTGGTTTTCTGTGAACTGTCTGTTGTTTATTCTAATACCTGATCTAATTATAATGGTGACTGTGCTGAGCCATTACATACTTTTAAAAATAACTAATGCTGTACTTTGATGTACAGCTTACAGAAAACACTTAAAACATGTGTATATTTATTTATTTATTTTTAATGTTTATTTCTGAGAGACACACAGAGTGCAAGCAGAGTAGGGGCAGAGGGAGAGACACAGAATCTGAAGCAGGCTCCAGGCTCCGAGCTGTCAGCACAGAGCCTGACGCGGGGCTCAAACACACAAACTATGAGATCATGGCCTGAGCCAAAGACGGACACTTAACCAATGGAGCCACCCAGGTGTCCCAAAAAGTGTGTATATGTTCTAAAAGCCTGTACAATGGAAACTTTTAACACATACATAAAGCATAAACGTACAGCAACTTACAAACAACAAACTAACAGTCCATAATTAGAAACTGGTCTCTAGAGAAGTGGCGGGGGAGGGAGTGGGGGTGTGTGTGGGGGGGGTGTGCAGCTTTGCCAATTTACTGTCCTATTTATAAAATACAAGATTATGGTTTTTCTGATTTGACTTTTGCTTTTAAGGTATTCCTAAAAACTACTGACCTATCAACTTATAGTTCTAAAGTGAAGGAAAGGGATAAATTTGTGCACAGTCACCAAGAGAGTCACTTATTTGTAATATTCATGTACACTCTTTCTCTCCCACTAGGAAGAAAACAATACAGTACTTAAAGGGATCAATCACTCTTTAACCTATATTCTCCTACACTGGCTTTTGAAAATTTAGACCCCAGATAATCATATATTATTTCTGTGATTTTTAAAATTATAAAAGGAATTTTTTAAACCACAAAATTGGTTTGTATTTTAAAGTCCTACTTCTAATTTTTGTATTTTTACTTTTTAAGTTTATTTACTTATTTTAACAGAGAGAGTGAGGTAGGGGCAGAGAGACAGAAGGGGAGAGAGAATCCCAAGCAGGCTCAGCTTTGTCAGCGCAGAGCCCGGGGTGGAGCTCGAACCCGTGAACCGCGAGACCATGACCCGAACAGAAACCAAGAGTCAGACGCTTAGCTAACTGACCCACCAGGCAACCCAAGTCCTACTTTTTAAAAGAAAGAATACAAGCCCCCAAGTTACCAGTTTACATCATCAGGACAAAAATAGAAACTTAGAAACTGAAAAGAATCCACTGAAGACAATGTATTCCTTTGTCCTCTCTCATAAATGCCATGTGAATATGTCTATTATTTCTACTAACATGTCAAAACAAATTGAGGTATTTTATAAATTCCTATAGGAAGCCCTGTTTCATTTCTTTCCTCTCCCATCGAATTCGCTTTCCAAAATGACAAAGCCACCTACAGGTCACTTCACCGCGCTGCCAGGGTTTACCTGAGTTGTAGCAGCAGCAGGGGCCGCAGATGCTGCTGCTGATGGGGAGACAGCTCCCACTTGCTGCAAATGCCCAGAAGGTTGCTGAGGTAAATGAGAACTGGAGACAGGAGTACTAGATCCTGAGCCAGATACCACATTTGGAAAGGATACTGCTACATCATTGCTGTTATAAATACCTGAAAGTAAAAAAAAGTATTTAAATATTGTATAACTTAGCTGTCAAATGTGTCACAGACACTCAATATTAATCATTAAGTTAGAACACCCACGTTTCCTCCTGATCCCTCCCTCAATGATAAATTTTATTGGTGGTGATTAAAAAAAAAGAATATATTAATAAATGACTAAATACTGACTTGTCGTAAGATACTTGTTTAAAAGAACCTAAGTCATTTTTTTTTTTTGGTAACAAAAATGGTTTTGCCATGTGACTGGGATCACATCAGGAAGTGCTTTGTAAAAATAACTAAGTATTTTAAGAATCCCTAAGAGCAAAGAAATGTTTCTGAAAAAGGAGAATGAAGCAATTAGAGCTGCATAAAAATCACCTGGTAAGCTTTTCAAACTGCAGATCCTAGAGCCCCAGAATTCATGATTGAGAAAGAGGTGTGAAATGGGGTAAGACTATGTTTTAGAAAGGCCACGCAGGTTACATTAGAGAAATTAAAATAGAACAGAACTAGACTTGAGATTCAAAGATTCATAAGTGGATTCTACAGAGATTCAGGAGGAAGAGAGAACAGACTGCATGACTGAATGGGGTGGGTGAGTAGGGGTGAGGATGGACAGGGAGAGAAGATTAAGGTAACGACAGTGGACTACAAGCTGGTGGTAACAGTCACTTCAAGGACACAGGGAAACAGGATGGAGGCATGAGAGCACTTTCAGAGGCACATGGAGTTTAAAGACCAAAAGAAAAGGGGGACTGGGTGAAACCAATTCATTCTGAAAAGTGGAAGGGAAGACAAAGGAGAGAGATGATGAGCGAAAGTTAAGGGGAAAAAGGAGTTACTAAAAAAAATATTTTGATTTTTTAAAGAAGGGAGATCATGCTCATATGCTCCACAGAGGAGAGGCTCTTTGAGGATAAAAGTGAGAGATGGGGGTATCTATAACCCAATACGGTTCTCAACCAGGGAGGACTTCTGCTCCACAGAGACACGTGATAAGGTTTGAAGACATTTTTAGTCATCAAAACCAAGAGGCACTACTGATGCACAGTAGGTGGAGGCCTGGGATGATACGGAACATCTTAAAATGCACATGGCCGCTCCTCACAGCCAAGAATGATCTGTATTACAGTGTCAGCAGTGCAGAAGCTGAGAAATCCTGACGTAAACCAAGGCTCCTGAGAGGGTGGGAGAAAATAGATCTTAAGATCCTAAGAACTCGACACTGTAACAAGAGGAAACCAAGAAAAAAAATGAACCTAAGTGGGTCGCAGTTAAAACCAAAAAAGTTAGAAACTATAGCCCTTGAAAGCAACAATAATTATTTACATTTATAGTACAATTTACTTTGTTCTAAAGAACTTAAGTACTACTGAGTCTTAATAAATAAAAGTCCCTATAATCTTCAAACAAGAAAAATAAAGGAATGAGACATTTTTAAAGGCCTTACAACTATAACTGAGAGTCCTAAGATCCTTTTTCTACAATTTCTCCAGAAAAAAAGATAATTTATTCATTCAACAAATGCATCCATTCCACAAACATCTGAGAGCTCACTGTTTGCCAGACATTATTCTAAGCCCTGGAGATACAAAGCCATGCAAGTAATGTGGTCTCCGCCTTCAAGAAGCTTAGTGGAAAAAAGAGACTATTACAAAAGACTGTGAAGAGTGCTATGATAGAGACATCCTCAGGGGCTCTGAGCACATAAAAAGGGGTATATAACCCAGACCTGAGGTGAGAGGATGAGGGTCAAAAAACTTACTGGAAGAGATGGATGCCTTTAAAGCTAATTTCTAAAGGAGCTGTAGAACCGAGGTGAAGGGTGGTCTGAGGAAGAAACAAAAGACCATGTAAGTACCATCTGTATAGCTTAAGCAAGAAATGAGGCTAAAAAAGTAAGCAGGAATCAGATCAAGAACATTAAAAGCTAAAATGTTAAAAATTTAGAGACAACAGGAAACCACTGAAGGATTGTAGGCAGAAGCCTGGTGTGATCAGATTGATGTTTAAGCAAGACACAACAGACGGCACAAGTGGAAAAGAGATTGGGGAGGGGGTTTAAGGAGAGACTGAGAAAGCTGTTTAAGTGTTGCTACAATAATACTGAGGAGCAAAAAAAGAGATTTAACTAAGTTAATAGTAGTAAAGATATATTCTACAGGCAGAGTTCATAGTCTGGTGCCTAACAGGACCTCAAGAACAAAGAAGAGGGAAGAATCAAGGGTGACTCTTAAGTACCAGTACGTGGGCATGTGGTGGTAGTGCTCACTGAAACAGGAACAGCAGCTGGGAGCATCTAGTACTGTATCTGGTTACTATATGTAGGTCACCCCACTAGCATAACAGCCCAATGAGGTAAATATTACTCCCATTTTACACAACAGCAAACAGAAGCTTAAGGAAATAATTTGCTGCGGCGCCTGAGTGGCCCAGTCCATTAAGCGTCCAACTCTTGATTTCAGCTCAGGTCATGATCTCACTGGTTGTGAGTTTGAGCCCCACAGAATTTTCTCTCTCTCTCTCTCTTTCTGCCCCTCCTGTGTTTGCATTCCTCTCTCTCTCAAAATAAATAAACTTAAAAAAAAAAGAAAGGAAGGAAGGAAGGAAGGAAGGAAGGAAGGAAGGAAGGAAGGAAGGAAGGAAGGAAGAAGTTGTTTAGTGACCTAGTAGATAGTAGAATCGGGATTCGAACTCACAGCTGCCTGATTCTAAACCTGCAAGCACTTCCTAAGACAAGACTCAAGTGCAGGTTGATCACCACAGCCTCTGACACGCCTGTGGAGCACAGAACTCCTCCACAGTCTAGACCACAACAGGAGCAGCATGAAGCCCAGCAGGAAAATCAGCTGTGCGGACACAAATCCAGGAGTTGGAAGAATAATAAAGTTGCAGAAGTAAACATGAAAACTAAAAAAGGCTCTCTGTTGGCTTGTACCGTGTTTGAAATCTTAAACTAGTTCCTATTTAGAAACACTGAAAGTTCATATTTAAAAGTGAATTCTAATTTCTCCTGAAAAACTGAGGCTCTGTCAATACTGGACACCAAATTTTGAAACAGCAACAGTCTGCTGGGGCTTTGGTCAGGGTACAGATTCTTTAATTCACCAGAGTCCTGTCATTCCTTATTCTTCCCTTCTCTACTCATTTATGTCCACCTACCTGGCCCCTGTGAATATGTGATTTACCACTCCTGATACGGAAGCTGGTCAAAGCCAAGGAATGGGAAAATGAAATCACCCAGACGAAGTTCTCAGAGTGATTGGATCAGAGGATCAAAGACAGAATCCTACAGAACCATTCAAAGAGTAGACAAAAAAGGATAGACCACCAAGAACAAAATAAGGACATTATGAGAATCTTAGGAACCACTGGAGAATTTCAAAGAAACAGGTCAAATGATTCCTCTGGTCATTTAAAGTCAGGCCAGAAAAAGGAGTCTCCAAATAAGACAATAAATCTTGGCAAAATGAACTCTTTTAAGAGGTTTGACTGTGAAGGAAAGAAAAGAGATAGCATGTAAATGAAGCTTATAAACCTTATATCCCAAAAGACATACACCTGAGAAATACACATTTTTTAAAAAGTTTGTTAACTCATAATTCATTCAACAAATACTTATTGAGGTTCTCATTATTTTAAAAAAAAAAAAAAGGCACTGAAGATAAAGAACAGAAAGGAATTTTGCTTTCAAGGAACTGACAGTCTCACAGCAGAACTAATTAGTATTCATAAGTTATTATATACAGGAAGAAATGCTAGGTACCATAAGGACACAGGACATGAAGGATGACTGAGTTCAGAGGAAGAGACCAGGGTAGAGAAGCTCCAGAGAGAAGCACTTGAACTCAGCCTATGCAGCAACGTACTTTAAATTAAAGGTAGAATGATAATAATCTAATTATTTAATGATGGAAAGCATACACGGAATCCCCAACTCTTAAAACTAAGTCAACTGGAGACAGCATACTAAAAAAAAAACCCCAAAGCACGGAACAAGTGTTTGAGACAAAAATCCTGGCTCTCTCAACGATGTGATCTGAATCAAATTACTTAAGCTTTCTGAGCCTCCACATTCTTCTCTATAAAACCAAGTACTCAGTGGGGCATGTAGGTGGCTCAGTCAGTTAAGTGTCCAACTTTGGCTCGGTCATGATCTCATGCTCCTTGAGTTTGAGCCCCAAATCAGGCTCTGTGCTGACAGCTCGGAGCCTGGAGCCTGCTTCAGATTATGTCTCCCTCTCTCTCTGCCCCTCCCCCACTCATGCTGTTTCTCTCAAAAATAAAAACATTAAAAAAAATTTTTTTAAAACAAATAATCATTACTTTAAAGGTTTTTATTTGAAAACATCCAATGTAAAAGGCTTTAGGAGTACCTAATACATAGTAAGTCTCCATAAGGTAGCCATAACTATTTTAGAGTTATTGCTCTAATAAAAATTTTAGATTGAAGTCAGAAAAGAACAGTATTAAAATTATCAGGCCCTCTGGTGTCCCTAATACTGTTTCAAAATTGAAAATACCACTGCCACATATAATAAAAGTATGTAAAACTGAGAAGCAAAACTGTAGTAACTGAGGACCTCTAATCTCTAAACTTGTATCTGTTTTTATATTGCATTGGAACATACTTAAATAGGAAACTGCACAGCTAAATATGCAATGTGCTCACACTTTGAAACTGTTTGGTACTCAGGTTACTACTAGAAATAGAACAGATAAAATTTTCTTTTCTTATCAAGGGAGGGCAATATAATTATCTAAATCTTTTTTTGAGGATGAGATCATTGACTCTCCCAAACTCCTTCACACCTAAGGGTGATTGGTACAGCATGAACAATTTCCTAAGACCTCTAGATCTTTCAAAAGGTAAATGATCCTCCTTAAATTGTTCTGTACCTGCTTTCTTTTTAACTTGCTCTATTTCCATCTTTCACAATGTATGTTATTTTTTAATTTTTTAAAGTTTATTTCTGAGAGAGAGAGAGGAGAGAGAATGCAGGTGT